GGCCCAAAACAAGCCGTGGGGTGGTGCGACAGCATGGGTGCCTGACCCTCCCTCCCATGCCCCCGTCCCCCATGCATGTGCCTGACCATTTTTGGTCCCAGGAGGATTCAGGGAGGCCTGCTACGCCCAACATGGGGCACAGTCACGCGCATGCACATATGCGGTGGGCAGGAGTCATGCAAGCATGCTCAGGGGGCGGGGCACATTGCACTGTGGGTGTGGGCACGCACATATGCGCTGTTGCACATGATTTCATCACGCAAGGAGAAAAAGGTTAGCCATCACTGCTCTAGGTTATATAGAGGTCTTTTGCAATATTTAGTTCATTGGAAAGGGTAACCTTTGTCTGAAGCTACCTGGGTTAAAAGTTGAAATGTAAAAGCAGATAGAATAGTTAAGCAATTCCATGACAAGTAAGCCAAAGGGTCCCCCCGGGGGGGAAGGGGTGGTTAGGTGTATGGTTTTAACCCCCTGTGTTACTCTCATTACAAGACATGACTTTTTGCTGAGCGGGGACAGCATGTCAGATCTGGAAGCCATCTTTTACATTGGGTCTTAAGGCCTTCCATATTTTCTGCTGTGGGAAAATGGGAGGGAGGATTATATGGAGTATGGGAGAATCTAAATAACATTCCTTTCTCAGAGAGTCAAGGACACCTTGCTCTGCAGCTACAATGATATAACTGGGAGGCATCTCCAGTATTGGATGGTGCCTGATTGGAACATGTGATGGACATGTGGGTGCTAGGCAGGGACTTTAACTTTCATTTGGGTGGGAAAAACCTGGAAACTTTCAGATTTGGGCTTTGAGGAAACTCAAGTCTCAGTATTCACTGGGGGTGTTACTTGAAACTCTGACACATGGATGATGTTATATTCTTAAAATTAGGCATTCTTTTGATTTGAGAGCTCGCTGCAATTGGAGTCTGCTAATTGTATTCTTGTATTAGAACGGAAAACACTTTTCTCCTAGACAACATTTCTCCTACAAAATTTGTGAAACGCTTCATAGCTAAACACTGAAATAACTGTCTATTCTAAGTAGGTACCTTTATTTCCTGCTCCAGAGTTAGATTTCTCTCCAAACTGTATTCTACCATTTCTGTGGTCACTGGGAACTTTTTTGGTAGTTCTATGCATTTTTTAATTAATACAGGATTGCAGCCATTCAGAAACTGGTATCCAAACATAAAATCTTCTTGCCAGTGCTGCATTACATATTCTAAGGAGAAAAAAACAACAACAAATATTGTTTTATGAGTAATCCTGATGATTATAAATTAAATAATTCAAGAAAACACAGGTGAAAATAATATTAAAATAAATACATAGTATGAAATATCTTTGATAGACATACTATCTTTTGCAGAGCTTCTAATTTTAATATTTATAAAAACAGGCCATATGTATATTTAATGCTATTTACTATATGTTATTTATTATTATACTATATACTGTCCATTACAGGTAGTCCTGTAACAGCAGTTAATGCAAGCTAATTTACTGCAAGCTAGTAAAAGCCCAAAATATGATTGGTGTGTCCAGCCATCAAAACATCAAAAACAGGCTGTAAGTACTTCTGGGGAGATCCATCATAATTTCCAACACTTGCTGAGTGACTGTCAAGAACTTCCCATATCAAATTAAGGAGAGAAAGAGGTGGAAGAAATAGAAGAAAGAGAAAAGAAAGGAAATTGAATGATTATTCTAAATCAGCAGCAGCAACTGTTATGTAACATGAAGCCCCTCCCATCACCACAATAGGACTATGATTTATAGAACACAGAACATCAGAGTTAGAAGACACCTTGGAGATCTTCTAGTCCAACCTCCTGCTCAAGCAGGAAACTCTATACAATTTCAGACAAATGGCTATCCATTCTCTTCTTAAAAGCCCCCAGTAATGGAGCACCCACAATTTCTGAAGGCAAGCTGTTCCACTGGTTCATTGTTCTGTCAGGAAATTTCTCCTTTGTTCTAGATTCTTCTCTCCTTGGTTAGTTTCTATCCATTACTTCTTGCTTCTGGTGCTTTGGGAAATAAGTTGACCTAGCTTATGACAGCCCTTCAAATATTGGAACACTGCTATGCTATCATGTTGCCCCCCTAGATTTTTTTGTACTAGACCATACATACCTAATTCCTACAACTGTCCTTCATGTGTTCTAGCCTCCAGTCCCCTAATAATCTTTATTGTTCTTTTTTGCACTCTTTCCAGAGCCTCAACATCTTTTTTATATTGTGATGACCAAAACTGGGTGAAGCATTCCAAGTGTGATCTTACCAAGGCCTAATAAAGCGGTACTAACACTTCATATAATCTTTATTCTATCCCTCTGCTAATGCAACCTAGGATTGCATTGGCTTTTTTGGCTGCTGCGGGACATTGCTGGCTCATATTTACTGTATTTTTCAGAGTATAAGATGCACCAAGGTTTTGAAGAGGCAATTTTTTTAAAAAAAGTAGAAAGGTAGAGGGATAGAGGGATAAAGAGGGAGAGAAAGAGAGAGAAATACAGTAGGTAGGTAGGAAGAGAGAGAGAGAGTAGGTAGGTAGGTAGATAAAGGGATAGAGAGAGAGAAATAGTGAGAAATAGAGAAATACAGTAGGTAGTGAGGGATAGAGAGAGAGTGTGTAGTAGGTTGGTAGGTAGAGGGATACAAAGAGAGAAATAGAAAGAGATAGAGAAATACAGTAGGTAGGTAGAGAGAGAGAGTGTGTGTGTGTGTAGGTAGGTAAGTAGAGGGATAGAGAGAAAGAAATAGAGAGAGAAATACAGTAGATAGGTACGGAGAGAGAGAGAGAGTAGTTAGGTAGGTAGGTAGATAAAGGGAGAGAAAGAGAGAGAGAGAGAGAGAGAGAG